AAAAGTTTTTGTACTTTGTGCGAAATCCAAAGTTCCTGCTGATTTCCCGTCCAAGGGCATGAAGTCATTTCTAAGCGAGGGTGAGAACCTTGAACGTGATCTGGTGGGAGATGGGAAGCCAGTGGAGTCTGCCGAGGGCTGGGGAGATCAATATACAGGGTTTGGTGTGGATGCAGATGGCAGGGATTTGGATGAGCTGGATCTTATGGATGGTGGAGCTAGCGAGAGTAACGAGGAGAGCATTTCCTGTTGGGATGAAACAAAGCTGTTTTAGGAATACAAATACAATGTGATTTACATTTAAAAGATGCGTGTCATAGAGGAATAGGTGTTTAACAGCCTCGGTTTTAAGTTTCATCTGAAGGCACCGCCCAGCACTGCAGTGGAGTCTCATTTGAGACTAAGTTCCACGTCCTGACATACATGGATTCATAACATCGAGGCTCGACTATGAAAACTCTTTGCTTGTCGGCCTCCCCAACTCCACAGGCCGCAGATCATCCAGAACTAACTCTGCAGCCCGTGTCCTCTCCTGCACCAGGCTCCGCGACCCTATCACCCCCATCCTCGCCCGACTCCACTGGCTTCCCATCACACAGAGGATACAGTTTAAGATCCTGATCCTCAAAGCCCTCCATGGTCTTGCTCCCCCCGACCTCTGCCACCTCCTAATCCCCTACCATCCTGCTCGCTCCCTCCGCTCAGCGGGCTCCGGTCTGCTTCAAGAACCCCGCCTCACCCGCTCCAACATTGGCAGGCGGGCCTTCTGCCACTCTGAGCCCATACTCTGGAACTCCATTCTGCAGTCCTTCCACCTTGCCCCCTCCCTCACCTCCTTCAAGACCCATCTCACGACCCTCCTCTTCGACCATGCTTTTGATCTCCCTGTTTCCCCCCCGCCGCCCTCTGCCCTCCTCCACCCTGACCCCCAGCTCGGGTCCAAAACACTGACTGTCCAGCGTCTTGGGATGTCCTCACGATGTGAAAGGCGCTTTACACGTGTTATTTTGTTGTTATTGTTGAACCCACAAACCTTTGACTCCCGAGGCGAGAATCCTACCTGCCAAGCCAGGTTGATGCGTGTTTTCTGGAGTTCTGGATAGTCTGCAGCTTGGATCAGGAATTGTTGGGCGATCTGGCAGGCAGTGTGTTAGTGTGGTCGAGCCTGAAGGTGCTTAGGGTCCCGGTGGCCCAAGGGGAGAGGTAGTGGCGGAGGCAGGTAGTGGGGGGAAGGCGGAGTGAGTCAGAACACGGATGTGAGATTTAAAGGACGGTTGGGAGACGATCACGACACCGGGCCTCCTGGCTGCAGGCCGATGCTGTTGGCGCCAGAGGTGAGAAAGCGCCGGCGAAAAGTTGAGCAGGAATCCCATTGCTTTGTCGACATTCAACTGGAGAAAGTTCGAACTCACCCGGGAATTGATGTCTGACAGGCTGGCAGTCGGCAGAGCAGCGGTGTTCCTGGAATCGAGGTTGGAGGCAGAGGTAGAGCTGAGATAATAGATTACGCAGGGAATAAACTCACAGCAGTTGAGATGGGCAGGAAGGAGATACTAGATAAATTGGGCAAACCTGAAGAGGAGAAAGCTCCATGTCCAGATGGATGGCACCCAAGGAATAGAGGATGTAGGAGAAGGGATTGGGGCTCCTGTGGAGTGTAAACACAGGCTCAGACTAGTTTGGCCAAATGGCCCGTTTTCATGCTGTAACTTTCTGTGTTACTCCAAGCTGCCTCGCTCTTAATTTTTTTTCAGTGTGGAGAAGGTTTTAGACGTGGAGAGAACAACAATCAATCTCTGCAATAATGTTCAAAACGTCCATCAGGTCACCTTGTTGTTTTCTTTTCCAAGGAGAAAATCTCAACTTAATTAACCTTTCCTTATAACTTGGGTTCCTCAGACCAGTTTCCATAGGCAATATTATCTTTTCTAACGTTAGATGGCAAAATCTGGCATCGAGCAATACCTTGTATGGGATCAACAATAACCTTTTAATTTGTACCATACCTTCTTAGTAATGAAAGCAAGCGAATTATTGAATCAAGTAAGGAACTAGGAACAAGACTCTCAAACAGTATGAAGAATCTGAAAGAGGTTCCAATAGACAGAGGGTTTAATCTTTAAGTTTTCTTTGTTTAAACTTTCATTTGGAAATGGCTACAGTAAAAATAGATTTATAACAATAATAATTCTTGTATTTGATCTAGCACATTATTACGTCGTAGAGACATCTCAAAGCGCTTCACAGAATATAAAGTGTAGTCACTGTGTACGCTTGTGGGCGAAACACGGCAACCAATTGCGCACAGCAGCGTCCCACACACTCGTGGATTGAGTGACCCACTTTTTTTTTTGGAGGGATTATTACTGACGTGAAAGACGCTCTTTAATTGCAATTTGTTCTTTTTTTTGTCATTGTTGGAACTCATCTCCGTCCTTAAGAGTATCCAAACCAAACGGAGTCCCATGCAACCCACCTGTATGTAAAGCTCCCAAGATATTTATTGGAATGGAATTCGCACTCTCTGCTTGGAGGGGGCTGCTCCTGCTAATTTAATTCTAGAGAGTGTTAGACACAGGTTGGTAAGAGCCAAGGCTTGGGGACCTCAAGAGTATGTGTGGGTGTAACTGCTGGAGTCTAACCACATAGCTTGGCATTGAGAGCACTGTCTGGCAAGTTTCTGGGACTATCCTACCCGTTGGAGCTTTAGCTTGTAGGGTGAGTGGGCCAGATCCCTGCTCCCAGTGACTGGTCTGCCTTTCCAAGTCTTCTTGATGAGCCAGGCCGGGCTGTGCTGCCATCAGCAGCGAGTGCCCTGGAATAGTGCAGCCCCTCCTGGCTCAGGAACCGGGACTAGAGAGCGCCACAGGGGCTGGCTCGAGTCGGACATTCTGTTGCCAAGCACGTCACCTTGGAGATGTAAAAGTGAGGAAGTAATGTTCAACTTGTGTAGAAGTTTAGTTAGTCTGCATTTGGAATACGGTGTACGATCGTGGAAGGTTATAGCTGCAGAGGTTTACTGCGTAGGAGGAAGCCGTGTCTGGCAGGTTACTGCCATATGAGGGAGGAGGGGGAGGGAGGAGGAGAGAGGGGAGGAGGGGGGAGGGGAGATGGGGGTGAGTGGAGAGGTGGAGAGGGGAGGAGGGGGGGGGGAGTGGAGAGGAGGGCGGAGGGGAGGATGGGGGCGAGGGGAGGAGCAGTGGCTGTAGACTTGTGTGGGGTATAAACACCAGCACGGACTGGCTGGTCCGAGTGGCCTGTTTCTCTGCTGTCTGGTTGATGTGTGTGAATCTGACCGAGTGCCAGGGTTAGAAAGCGAATGCTGGAAGATCACAGATGATCCTTGTGCTATACGTTGCCACTAAGACAGCACTAGCACAAGCTCCAGTCAGTCTGTGCCCAGCGCCTCACAACCCTGTGACTCGAACATCACCCTCCAAACCCAACAAACGGCTCTTTCATAGGACAGTGAATTGCTCCCTCAGTGCTTCACTGGGGAGTCAGACTAACAGAGTCTCAAGCCCTGACGTATCAGAACTGCTGTGGTGCATTGCAGTGCTCATTAGAATGATCTCAAACTATTTCCAGTTTTTATTGTCATCTAACGTGGACAGACATCAGGCGATACTGGCCCAGTAAACAGATTAACTGGCCACGTACAGAGTTATTGGCTCCAGTCCCAGTGATCGTATCTATTTAGTATTTTACAGAGATAAACCTGGGCCACATAGTAGACGCATTGCTCACTGAAGAGCTTTGTGTTTTATTCTTCATCATAACAGGTGGAACAGCAAAAACACTTCAACCCTGCCTTGTTGGTTCAGTTTAATGGGAGACATCTATCTTGAAGCATTCTTTTAAAGATCTGTTATTTTTTACGATCAGTAATTGAATCGCAGTATCATCCTGCAAACTAACCAATAAAAATATTCACATCATGTCAATGATTTAGCTGTTTTCCAGTAAAGTTTTAAGTTGTTTTAATTGGAGGTTATGATAACTGGAACGATTATCTTGATGGAAACCTTGGGATGAATGTAAAACCTTTACGCTCCCAAACATTGTTTTCTACTGAAAGCGAACCTGCACGTTTTAACATGTTCTGCGATTTATCTTGTGAGCAATTGGATGCCATATTACATACAGAATACAATGCGGCTGTAAATCGATGACCGTTCCAAAGCATTAACACGACTGATTATTTTCTGCGATCTTTAAGATTGACGCTGAAATAAACGCTTCCAAATTCTGAGATCGTCCTATTGCCGGCCTGGCTGACACTGCGGTGTCCAGGCTGACACTGACACCGCAGTGCTGTGCTGTGTTAGCAGAGACACCAACCTTCAGCTGAAGCATTCAATTGATAGTTCTTTTTAGCTTTTCTTGCCAGCAGTCGTACCTATTGTATCTGTGTATTGTATCGTATCTGTAGTGTCCCGGAGCGGAGTAATTGTCTCACACTCGCCTCGCAAGCGAGGACCCGGGTTCGATTCCCAGCAGAGCCAAACCTTACGCAGGTTTCCTTACTCCACACACACACACCATTGTTTACCGAACAGTAAATAGGAATCCTGTTGTTAGTCATCGCTTTCTGTGGGTAATAATCCCTCTGAATAAAAAAAAATTGGTCACTCAATTGATGACTGTTTATGGGACATTACTGTGTGTAATTGGCTGCCATGTTCACAATACACAGTTTATCCACTTTACACTACATACACACACATTGTATGTAATACAGCACAAGACACCACTAATATTCTAGTATAATGTATTCCCATTACCTGACTCTACCTGAGACAAAGTGTTGTTTAAAAGTATAAAGCCTTAGTTCACTACTGTACTGATTTAACATGCAGGAAAGTGCTTGTAAATCCACCAGAGAATACATGGAAATGACGATCTTTTATTTGCTTTCCCCAAACATTTCTAACTTCTCTCTGTGTAAAGGCGTAACGTAAGTGCGAATTGTTATAACTTTTCTACCTTTTTTTCCCCAGGAATAACACGATTTGATCTGCTGGGAGACTTCGGAAGATTTAACTGGCTTGGCAACTTTTATATTGTCGTCTCGTACAATTTATTGTTTGCTGTGGTAACCACTCTCTGTCTTATACGGAAATTTACATCTGCCGTTCGTGAGGAACTCTTGAAGGCTTTAGGTAATGACCAACGGCAGCCGTTACTGATCCATCAATTCAGCCATAAATCTAAGGAGCTCAATATCACTATTTTCCCGCACTGTTAAAGCTGCATTAACAGTTAATAACTTGGTCATTGGTTAATGGAGAAATGCAACATTACTGAAACCATATCGTGAGGTGATTTCAAAGCAGCAGAACAGGACAGAACCATAGAATCTTACAGCACAGAAGGAGGCCATTCCCCGCTCCCACCCCTAGTCCCACCCCTCCCGCTCTCCCCTCATGTTGTGCCTTATGACTATAATCTAAACCCCAGAATCACATCACAGCCTGAAATTGCTACCAGTATTTAAACTTTCCCTCTGACCGCATGTTCGGTCACTCCGCTCCCCCCACCCCCATTGCCCTCCAACCTCTTGACTCCAGCCACAGCTTGGGTGACAACCCTCGACTGTCCAATGTCTTGGGAGATCCGTCTGGCGTGACAGTCGCTGTGTAAATGTCACGTGCTGTTGAGGGATATGGACGGGGACAATGGAGAATCGCAGAAATATTTGCCATATATGTCGGGGGGAAAACTGATAAATTTAAGGAAAATTACAGGCAAGTTTGTCGGAACTTTGCGGGAAATTGTGGGGGTTGGTTGGTGCTGTTGTGAGCTGCAGTTTCCTGACAACCGCCATTTTTTCAATTTATCGATTAAAAACCAAACACGAATTATACATTTATTGTCGGAAACATTTTGTTTGATACGCTTGATGTGATCAGCTGTCCGTATAATCAGAGGGTTATATTATTATTTTAGATCCAGACTGAAGACTTTAATCTTTGACTGCGCTTTCGGTCACTTCCTCCCTTCCCCGGGCTCCATCACTGTCGCGCAGGACGGGTGCTATACAAAATGCATTCTTTGTTGTTTGTTGTTGAAAGTTTCTGGAATGTGCTTTTTATTTTTCTCTTCGCTCCTCAGGTTTGGATAAGTTGCAACTTTCAACCAGTAAAAAAGACGCAGAGAAAGTCCTGCATTCTGCAAACGGCCATCAGAAAGCATTTTGAGTCGACCGGTTTTGGCAAAATAGTTCAGTCACACAACATTCCACCTTTCCTCCCGCGCCTCGAACAGGTCATTTATTTTCAGCCGATGCTCAGGGTCAGAGATGGGTTCTGTCGCGGAAGGAATTCTGCATAAAAATTCGCATTCGGAAAAGAACGGAGGAAGCGGACAACCGATGGCATGATGGTAACATCTAACTCGATGTCCGAGGTTACTCCTGAGTTGACTTTAGCTTAGACTATAGCACTGCATTCAGACTGACTGTCCCTTGAGCCTCGTTTTGTTTTGGGATTCCTTTGGGGACATTTGGCTATGCTCGGAATCCCACTGAAGCAACAGTGAATCCATGTCTACCTCTGCTGGAAGCTCCATCACCAAGCGGAGCGTGTGGTGATCATGTTGGCCGTGATCCATGCGTGAGTGTCAATGTCCTCTTCCTCCATCGGCCTCTACTTTGCTGGAAGTTGCTTACGATTACATTGTGGAACCGTGGCCATTGTCTGGTCTGAATACGATCTCCTCATTTCACAGCTGAGCCAAGTTGGACTCCAGCCACTGCCAATTTGTGTCCAAAACTGAAGGCAGCAAAAATGAGCTTTTAGTAGAAAAGAAATGTTTTAATTAAAGTCCTGGCTTATTTGGCCAAACTCCCACGTGGCATGAAGACAAATTTGTTTTCAATCTCCTCTTGTAAAAATTGGTGTGATTTATTGGTGAATAAAGTTGAGCAAGATTAGCGCAGCGATGAGGCTGATGCCCCAGTTCTATTGGCTATTGTAAACCAACGCACCCAAATTCCCCAAACAATCCAATTGCTGGTGAATAGTCCTCCTCAGCTCTCCTCTGCCCTGGTCTGTTGTGGATCGATTGCTGAAGAATCTGACAGTCGGACCTTTTAGGTCTCTCCTGAACCGAAAGGAAACTGATTGCAATGAATCTACTTGAAGTGTTTTTTTGTTGACTGGTTTGCAGGCCTCTCAGTATAGGTGGGAAGTTTGTCCATTTGCTAGACAGTGCCTCTCATTCCCTCCCACCCACCTCACTGCATTACAAACCACTTTGGAATTATGTTTTTCTGTGTCTCCACCGTCTGACAACAATCAAAATCCATTGTTCACGTTTCGCCCACAAAATATAGTCAATTCACTTGACGGTGTATCCTGCAAAGCGCTTTGAGACGTCTCAACAAGGTGATAAGGCGCTGTTGCGCTCAAATGCAACTATTATTATTTCTGTTTCTTCCTGTTCAGACCACCGCTGCTGGATTTGTTTCCAACAGTAAAGCGATTCTGAGCAGAACAGAAAACCATCTCTGTGTTTCCTGCTCTGAAATGACATTGTTGGGGTACAGTGGAGAGATTTCCTTACACAAAAAGCTAAATGCCTATCCAGAGGTCAGTCAGTCATTTAGTTCTGAAAGATCTGGCCTCACAAACGGCTCTTGATTAACATTTGAAAAGCTTACTTATATATGAGAATTATTTTGGAGGTGATTTGCTGATTTACGCTGCAACCAATGCTATGGCTGAATCCATTCCTTGTGGACGAGGGGATGTTTCTCAGGGTGGATCAATGACCTGGAAACCTGATTTACACTTACAGTAACGGATAACAGTAACAGCGCAACACTTGACTGGAATAAAACTCTCTGAAAATCTTTTTCTGTTTACTTCAGAACCAATGTGTCACGTGTGTGATGTTGGTCAGTGATTTGAAAGGTAATCTTACAATCTTCTAAATTTACTCGAGTTCCCAGATTCCCTTCAGTTTAGCTGAAAATGTTTTGCGATTGAAACTCTTGGGTTAAAAAAGTGTTTCATTTCAGTTAGCGCAGATATTGACCCTGACAAGTGTTCATGGAAGGATTTTGAAAGCGTTCAGTATTCTGGGGCTATCATTCCATTTCATTTGGTCTGAACCCCAACTGTGATCCATAAACCGTGTGCAGTGACGTTGATTGTAGCGTTTTATAATTCTGTCGGTTTACTGTTTCCCCGGAATTATATGGTGATGTTTTGCAAAGTTATTTGAAGACCCACTTTCTTCTGAGTTTCGTAGACCTCTGTTGCCTTGCATCGAGGTTGGTTGTGAATCCTATTTAGGACCATCATTGAATTTGCAGCTGAACTCATTTGTGCAGATTCCAGACCAGTGAAAGGAAAGACTTATTGTTGGTGGGTCATTCGACTGAAACATTAAGTGTGAATGGCATTCACCTGTCGAATCGAGCACTGCTCTTTGGTGATGAATAGCAGAGTTGAAGTGCATTTTACTGCCACGCATCTACGTGGTGTTTTCAGTGAATTGCAGAAATTTTATTTTTATCTGTCAAGTTTCAACTTGTTCAATAGTTACTCGGGCGAGAGCTGCATTGAGTTTGAGAGACTTGTGACATTTTGAATCAACTCAGCAGATTAAGAAGTGAATATGTTTGTCGTGGGTGCTATTTTTGTGATTATTATTCTTTTAGCTTGGTCCAAACTTCCTGTTTGCGGGGGAAAAAAATGCATACTGTGAATTACTTTTTTCCCTTCACTGTCCTTTTTATTCTCTGATTATTTGAAGAGTAATTCTGCTCGAGGCTAAACTTGTCAAACACTTGGTGTTGATGAATCCAGATGTGTTTACAGGTAAATTTATATTTTCAAATCTGAAATCCAACTCAAATCAATAAGTCCTGGTCGAGTGAGGACGAACTGCGAGTAATGAAGTCTCGACATTCACGAAGCAAATGTGTCTGTAAAGCCAAACACATTCATACGTCCACCAAACAAATTCGGGACCGTTGGAACCCACCATTGGTAGAACTTCCACCATTTTGAACCGTTTCCAACACTGTTCAAGGGCAAAAGTGAATTTGCTGCAGTGAGTGGCTCAGAGCGAGGCGGCTCAGAGCGATCCGGCTCACAGGCAGCTCAGAGCGAGGCGGCTCAGAGCGATCCGGCTCAGAGCGATCCGGCTCACAGGCAGCTCAGAGCGATCCGGCTCACAGGCAGCTCAGAGCGATCCGGCTCAGAGCGAGGCGGCTCAGAGCGAGGCGGCTCAGAGCGAGGCGGCTCAGAGCGAGGCGGCTCACAGGCAGTTCAGAGCAATCCGGCTCAGAGCGAGGCGGCTCACAGGCGGCTCAGAGCGAGGCGGCTCAGAGCGAGGCGGCTCAGAGCGAGGGGGCTCACAGGCAGTTCAGAGCAATCCAGCTCAGAGCGATCCGACTCAGAGCGATCCGGCTCAGAGTGATCCGGCTCAGAGCGAGGCGGCTCAGAGCGAGGCGGCTCAGAGCGAGCCGGCTCACAGGCAGTTCAGAGCAATCCGGCTCAGAGCGAGGCTCAGAGCGAGGCGGCTCAGAGCGAGGCGGCTCAGAGCGAGGCGGCTCAGAGCGAGGCGGCTCAGAGTGAGGCGGCTCAGAGCGAGGCGGCTCAGAGCTGGATTAGATACCACAGTGTAGAGGCCAGACTTTAAGATGTAACCTGGGCTTCTGCGTAATGGAGGAAAAACTATTGATGAAGTGAGCGGTTTGGATTGATTACAGTTCATTTATGGAACGTTTGTTGACGAGGAATTGAAAATTACGAGTGATTTTGACCGTCCTTAAAAATACCTCATGGCACGTTTTCCACTGAGTGAATTTGCATTAATTTTTCTATGTTTTGGATGGATCTGGGTGGGGGGTCGGGGTGGGGGGGCAGAGGAAGGAAGAGTAAGCTCTTACTGTCGATTTTTATTGAGCACCACACAGGCACGTGGCAAAGGAAACTTGAGGAATTCAGTAGAAAACTGGTTTCAGAATGAAACGGCTTTTACTTCAATTTGCCTCCGCAGTCTGGTGAACCCATTGGTTTTATTTGTAAATCTTATTTTTTCTTATTCAGCCATTCGCGCAAAAAAGCATTTGCACAACGACCAAAAATGACCTTTGTGCATGTGACATGGAGCAACGTACAGCGTTCACACTGTCTACTAACTGCATACGAGTGTTTTTTCTAAATGACAAATTCACTGTGATTTATGCTTTTTGGCTCTGGGTTCAATATCATTTGGTGAGTTTCTTTTCTCATAGCATTTTTCAAATAACATTCATTTGCATTATGATAGTTGTTCCTTTCCGTAAGTTATATTTTTTATTGTCTTGTGCACTGTGATACAATTCATCTTTTATAGAAGTGTTTTTTTCTGTTACATCACAAGAAGAAGAAAATGCTAAATTGAGATCCTTTTTGGTATGTTTGAAGTAAACCTTGTTAAAATGATTTCTACAATAATTTGCGCTGCCAGCAACACTTGTGTTGGAAAAAAACAACCACATTTCCAAATTTGCGAAAGTGTGTAATTTATCTGATATGCAAGTATTTACTTCCCAGCTGTGGGATTACTGGCACAAACAGACAGAGAGTAAGCGTCATTTGTAATGTTTACGTTCATTAGTGATGATCTGCCTGAATGCATTAAGTGTAAATGTGAAATATTTTCTTATGTCCGGACTGTGAAGCAACACGTTAAAGAGTGTTTGTTATTTTCTCTCTTTTAAGCATTATTCTGTCTGGGAGAGAAAGGGTGTAGTTTGGTGAATTGGCAGCTGTGCTTTTTATACAGACTATAAAGTTGTAATGACATCCCTACGGTGAGCTCTGCTTGTTTAAGTTCTAGGTGTGCACTCCATTACTTTCAAAAGAACCTTTTGCAATGATATAAATTGGCATTCTAATGTGGCACTTAAAACGCTGTTGACCTGCCTGAATATCTTTTTATAAGTTAGAATAAACACTAAAACAAAATTTCTTTGAAGACGTGGCAGGGAGGATAGTCTTAAGAGGATAGGAGTCTTTAACTATAAAAAGTAAAATGCATTTTCTAATGCACAACATGCAAAAAGCTGGATGGGTTGCAGTCTTATACTGTTGCTGACAGACAGCTTCAGGCTCATGGAATAGTTTGTGTTTTTTTTATAATAAAAACTTGGGGTGAAGGGCTGAGGCCAATGGTGCAATACCCCACTCACAATTGAGGCTAAAACCATGAGGAATTTCAGGCCTCAAGATGCCAAGGCCGTTTGGCTGAGAGGGACTGGATCGTGGCATCACGGTGTTCTGAGCCACGGAGCGCAGACAGCAGTCACTGTTACAAGGTCTGAGAGGACCAATATCCTGGTCTTCCTGAGGAGCTCATGGGGTGAAAACGTGTTCTGTTCCCAACAGCACAAAGTTCACGGCAGTCAAGATAAGAAGCAATTAATTGCTCTTTTCATGTGACTACAATCCGTTGAATAAACCGTATATTTACACCCGGACGTTTTGTTTTTGAACTTAAGAAAAAGCGCCGTTTCACTTGAAAGTGCAGTAACAGCTGATAATTAATTTTATGCACCTTATTGTACGCAGGTTTTGTTTATCGTCAAATTAAACCCATTCCCATTCCCGGCAATTGTTGCTTCCTCCACAATCTTGAAACACCAAAGCAACTTTTGTAAGTAACTGCAGAGGTGACTTGGGACCTTCGCCACCTCCCTCCGATTGGAGGACGTTCTGCTATCAGCTTCCTGAAGTCATTGGAAACTTTTTTTATTTGTTTATCGTGAGAACATTACTGATTTAGCTTTATTGCCAAACACTTGCTGTTCTAAAGGTCGTTTTCATTATAAAATACACAATATTTTTTTCTTTGAATATTTTCCTCTATTTTAAAGAGGTTGCCAGCAATTTACCAGCCTAACCGGTCAGTATATCCCAATGCAATGCTGACCAGTTATCAGTTGATTGGCGGATTGCTTTCTGGGGTAATAATCCCGTCAAAAATAAAACAAAATGATAATTTGGTCACTCAATCCACGACTGAGTGCCACGTTTCGCCCACAAAATATTCACTTTACGGTATATTCCGTGAAGCGCTTTGGGGCGTCTCGAAGGGGCTGCATCAGATGCAGGGATTGTTATAGGGCTTATTTTGAAGTGGTCAAAACAAAATATAGTGATACTGACTAAAGGATCTTGGCTTTACTGCCAAGTTTAGGCTTAGCGCTGACTTCTTTTTGAATCACTGAGAATTTTAAAATTTGAGGAGTATATTGCCCTCTTGTCACAGAAAACCCGACTCTTCACAATAACCATGTCTTGAAACAACCAGTGGTGACACTTACAGAGCAGTATGACCAAAAGCTCCACAAAAATGTTAGCATTTCCCTTAGTTTTCAGCCACTGTCCGTTAACATTCTTATTTGGTTCTGCATTATATAGTCTCCAAGTGCAATTGTTTTTCTAGAATTCATGAAGGATTACTATTTATTTTTATGCCTATCCGAGCCTTTAATCAACAGAATATTTTGCACAAGTGGATTTACTAACTGTTCTGGCGGCAACTGTATGGTTTGTTACCAGACAGACTTTATGTAGATGTGAAAACAAAAGCAACCGACTGCCAATTCATCAGTTAGGCTGTTCCTCTTGATATTGAGGATACCTCTAACCTAGATTTTGCAGCTGTTGATATATTGCATGTTATTTGTATGTTTCATTGTTAGCTCTGAGTGAATCTACATTGTATTATGTTTATAGTCCTTTTTTTGGTAAAATGGGTTGTAATCAGTTTACATTGTGTCGCTCTTCTTGTGTTTACAATAAATTCAGTCAAACTGTGTATCATGTCCATTTCTTGTTTTCTTTTCTTTTCCAATATCTATCAGAAGCCACAGAAAGTAACTGATGTACTGATGTACATGTTGGTCTGTCAAGAAACACTCTTTGTACAGTGAAACTCTTGGTATAGCTCACTCCTCCAACCCCACATAACTCGTCACTCACTCAATATCCCGTTTACTTCCCGTTATAAAGATTAATTATGACAATTAATTATGTGGGCTATAGGCAGATTTGCAGCATTTAGCAGTATGTAAATTTTCACATACATATCTACTGACTCCTTGATCAGAGACACCCAGAATCTTCAAGGAAATTGTATTTTATTGATAAACTGTGAAGAAGTAAGTTCCACATTGACTGAAGAAAAGCAGATGTCGTGAGAAGTGAACAGCTTAGATCTGAAGCAATAAACCAGGAACTTGTTTGAGAATTCTTTGAGAATGTCACAATTCCTGAATAACAGCTTTCCTGACGGATAAAAGTTCTTTGGATAATTTAAAGGCAAAATTCCAAATACAATTTACATTTTCAGAAGATGATTGTAAGGCTCTGTAATTGATGCCCAACTATTAGGATGCAAAACAAAAGTTGATTTTTATCAAATAAGACTTATTAATGACGTGTGTGCGGGCGCTGACAAGATGACAGGACCATTTTGAGAGCCAGCTTGATTCAGTTGAAACACAGAAAGGTAAAATGGTACAGCTGCCGAAGGAAACTTCTGTTTTACTGTTTTTTTTAAAAAAATCAGGAAACTGGAACAAACATTTGTATATTTCATGTCATGAAAGTGAAATAATTAAAAATTCTCCCTCTGAGAAACTCCCATTCTGAACGAACAGGATGTGACCGAAAGATTATTTATGTTTCATATAATTCTCTTTTGGTAAGTGGACCTACATAATGGGCAGACGTGCTTCTGTCCCTCTGTAAAGTCCTCGAAGGCTTGCAGACAGGAGTAATGGAAGGCATGTGAGCAGGAGAGCAGGACAGTGCGACGGACAGATAGACCATGTTCCTCTCTTCTCTCAGTGGTACCAGGAGCAGTGGGGAATGTTGTATTACTGAAGCAATATAATGGAGTGATACAAATTGGACAATCAGATCCTTCCCTCTGGATCGCCTGAGGTTAAAGAAAGTTAAAAAGAACCAACAGTTATGATTGATCTCAGAAAAAAATCTACAATTGAACAAGCAAATTCTGTGCTTACCAAAAATTTTAGTCAGATTCATTGACTCAGTATTGTAATAAACATCTCTGATCTTCTACCACATCTGCTCCCTCCTATTCTCAGCTTTGTTCCACCCTCCCTTCAAGTCAACATCGGTGCCTGAACCTTCAGTTACTAAACCCTTAACCTCTCGGACTCCCTCTGCCACTCCTTAAATCCTTCTAAAACTTTAACTAAAATAATTGTTTTGTTTTTCGAGGGATTATTATTAGGCTCTGTGTGGAGTAAGGAAACTTGCCCAAGGTTTCACCCTCTGTCTGAAATTGAACTCAGGTCTCTCACTTGCAAAGCGAGTGCTCTAACCACTGAGCTACAGGACCCCTCCGTGAAGGGCCTTCTGCATTTAGGTTTTGCTACTGACTGCGATAGGTGTTATATCCTTTACCTACACTACAATATTCAAGGATTTAAACACGGTCCATTGTCTCTTGTCCATAATCCTTCCTACTCGTGCAATTTACAATGAAGCTTATTGGATCAATTTTTTTTTCCTGACAAATATTCTCAAGAATTGGATACAATTTCAAGAATTGGGATTAATGGGTAACTCAAAACTCCTCTTTACTCCCTGAATGAACTTGTTATTCTAATTAATATTTTACTTGTACAATGATTTTAAAAATATTTACTCAAAATGAGTCACAAGCTTTCACATTGCAGCTGGCATTTGGTTTAAACTGAACATACCTTTTCCTTGTTCATCTGGGGTTGCTGCTGGAAAGTAGGAGACAGGCAGGATAATCTGGTCATGATATCGGCTGAATATTCATTTAAATCCATTAAAATCAGATTACAGTAGGAACCTGTTATAAGGCGCACCCTCATATAACTGGCCGACTAACGAGGCAGATACCATTTGGACCCCCAACCTGATGTGGCTCATGGACCAACTGGCTTCCTGTGTGGCCTGTTGACTTCCTGAACGTTAAATATGGCTGGTTTCTGAGACACAGGTTAGATCCGGTCACTTTGTACCCTATTGATAAAGTGGGTTGGGTTTTTATATACCCCAACTGCCATCTTATAGCATGATTCTATTGGATTATACTCTGGCGAGAGGTAGTTATAACACAGTGCACCTCTGAAGATCACACACACATTTAGCAATCTGTCTCACAGCCATGAATGTAGCATTTGTTGCTTGACTGTTAGACCCCTCACCTGACCATTACCTTCCTGTCCCTACCTCTGCACATTAATATTAGATTGTCTGATGGTACAGTTCACTTTTACCATATAATGCTTTATTGTAATTCCCACAGTTTGAATAAGACTCGATCAACTATTGCCAGGATGATTTGCGTCATTAGGGCCCCACACAGGGAGATGTGGAGAAGGGCAGTGTCAGGATAGCACATCCTCGGGTTTTCTTTCATAAGATTAAAAGGGATCACAAAAGAGTTTGGTTCAAGAAGCCTCCAGAATACGCCCCCACACGACCTTCCTCCTGGAAGAAGTGCCACTGAAGCACTGTCTCCAGCCACTTGGGAAACTCAACATGTGGAGTCAGGTAAACAATTATTATTTCCTATTATTTATGAATAACCAAGTCTGTTCCACAACTTTTAGTTCTTGGCAGATTGTTTAAACCATTGCTCCACCCTTTTGCCATACTCTTAAACACCTCAACTACTCAAGTATTTAGGTCTAAACAATTGTATTGATTCCACCTCTGCAGCTTTCTGGGGTAAAGATTCCACATGTTCACAAACCTATGTGTGATCCCTCTACTAAAACAAAGAGTCCTCCACTATCAATTCCTTTCATTATTTTAAATACCTAAATCAAATTATCCCTAAACCTCCGCTCCTCTAAGTACTAAAACCCAGCGACTTTGGCCTCTGATAGCTAAGCCCCTTCTAGCCCACGTATTAATCTAGTGAATCACTGCTGGACACTGTCCAAGGTTAATATATCCTTTCTATGATTGGGTACCCAAATTGAAAAAGGTACTCAGCTCCACTGAAAATAAGGCACAGACCACAAGTTAAGAAGCAAAGCACTAATTGATGGTGAAAAATCCCAAATTCAAATGAAGATATTGTAGTAATTTGCACCAACCAGTTGTGAAGTACAATTTAATTTCGAGATTGACATTTGTAGTTGGAAAAGTGCAATTTCACACAACCTGCGTGTTGCAGTGTTGCTCTCTGTGTGTCTTAAGTAGATTTAATTGCAACGTGTCTTTATCACTGAATTTGAGACGTCTCGAAGACGCGATAAGGCGCTTATACGAAACACAAGGATTATTATTGTTATTAATGATAGTGAGAACACCTGTGTTCTGACCTTCAGTTGTATTTTCTCCCACTCGTTCTCGGAGATATTCCTGAGGCATTTCTCCTCAAACTGCTGGATCACCCTCCGGCTCGTAGCCACCGAATGGTCAAGCTCTGAGAGGAATTCATCGATGTTTGTGTGGCAGGACCTCAGCAGTCTGTCATTAATTTCTTCTAACTGTGGAAATATAAAAAATGGACTTGATCTTAGATGAGCAAAGAAAATGGAACTCAGGAAATCAGAACTCGATGGTTTCCCCCGAGGGATACCTAACAAAGTGTCATTAACTTTAGGTAACTATTGAACTACTTCAAACTGGCGTCCCTCATGCAAAACAGCGTCCCAGGGCGCTTGACAGTGGCAGAGCACGACTCCGAGCCAGGGGGGTATGGGGAAGGTGACCAAAGGCACAATCGAAGAGGAGGACCTTGAGGTCTTGAAGAAGGCAAGGGAGGTGGGGGGGCGAGGCGAAGGGACTGTGGGATGGAGTTCCAGAGGATGGGGGTAATTAGCATTGATTCACTACTTAAGGGGAAATAGCTGGACAGAAAATTAAATCAAAAGGTAAGACTGGATTCAAATCTCTCTTAAGCAGATTGGACTTTTTGGTGTTGCCAAGGCCTCCCCCACCAAGAATCCCCACGTGACCTTCTTGAGTCAGGTTATTTGCCTCCTGTCACAGAAGTCAGCTGAAGGTGGGCCGGGCAGAGATCTCTGTAAAGCCAGCACTGCTCAAGCTTGTTTGCCCAGGAACTGCTCATCACTCTGGACTTTTCGCTGTTAGTTCAGTCAGCAGTTGATGAAAGAAAGCAAACTTTTTTGGGGGGATAAATGTGTACTTAGATTATTTAATTCTAAACCTGCCATTAGGAAGCTTATTATCAGTAATTTAAAGATAGCTGTAGCCCCTTGGGTTATCGCTTCAGGAATACCTTTTCAACTCTTAAGTTTAAAATTAATCACTTGTGATCTTTATCCAGTGACCCCTACTCTGTCTGTGTGAGTGTGTGTGTGTGTATATATAAGTGGGTGTTTTGAGTTTGAGTGTATGTACATCTGATTACAGTCCTATCCCAAAGATTCTAACAGTAAAGTTTTTTAAAAAAAACTATATATTCTTTGGGACCATCTCTAAAGCCCTTCAAAATAAACAAATAATAATTTGGTCACTCAATCCACAACCGCTGTGTAACTGTATTTGTCTCGGCTGTGAGCAGAGGAAGCCCATCCAGGGGGCAGACAGGGAGGCGAGAAGGTGTACATACCTCCTATAAGCTGCAGTGTAATTGAAACGAAGACAGTTATATAACTACTCTGCTCTTTACACGTAAAGGACATTTTTATCACCAGTTTTTGGGGGGTTTTCTTACGGAGACAATAAATATTGTTTTGCCCACAAGATGCTACAGTGTCTCCTGTGAAGCGCTTTGAGACGTCTCGATAACATGATAAGACGCTGTATCAAATGCAAATTATTATTATTACTATCATTGCTGTTCAGAAACGAGTTAAAACTAAAACAAAATACAAATCTCCCATTTTACTAGAAAGATAACACAGCAGATGTATAAAGCATGTGCGTACTGGAAATACATTACTTTGGGTTTAGGCCAAGCTGTTTCCAATAGCAACTATTTTTTTCCAAGAACCACAGAGCTGCGAGGAGGGTACACATGAGGGTGCACGACAAAGTCACAGCCCAGCAACGAGCCATTTCTCAGCTTCGTCACGCTGGCTTTTTTTTTTTGCTTTTGCAAAATAAAATAAAGCGTCAGAAGGTCTCAAATGTGAAGCCTTTATAAGAAATGGCAGGTAGTCTAAACAATTAAAAAGACATCTGGAGACTGTTACGTAAGTGGAATAGGCATCGATTTTCAATCTCGCAAAGTTTTTGAATTCAAAAGATTTGAGCCGCGACGTAATAAGAAATAACAAGTTCCGTTTCTAGCTGCTTGGTCTAAAAAAAAATTGCGGTTAGTTTCGAGAGTGAGTTTCGGCACTGAGTGTGGAACTGTCGCCCAAACAAAGGGCATATCATTAGTGGACTTTGCCCACCCCTGAAAACTTTCATTTAAATGCCAGCAAATTGGTTACTAATGTGTTGACTTATGGTAAGCCTCAAAACTAAACTGAAAAGCAGGGAATTTACAACATATCTATGTAGATAAGACTTGACTGGTTTAATATCCTCCCAGTCACACTGCTCAAAAAACACTTCAAGATAGTAGCAGATTGTTTGCCAGCCCTGCGTGATAAAGGAAGTTCCCACACTGAGCAAACCTCAGGCCCATTATACTGTTTGGCGAGATTTAAATCAAAATTGTTCAAGAAATCCTGGAACTGGGCTGCCTCCCTTTTGTGGGAAATAAATGAAGCTGAGCAAATTGTTTCGCAAATGACTCAGCTTACCACCTTGAAGAACCATCTATGTCACCAACAAAGCGGCTGATAAATATGTTGCATTTGGAATAGATTTAACTGCTGCAGTAAATGACCATACCTCAATTATATGGCATTGGTAAGAAGATTTTACAGATAAAGATCAAAGAACTGTACCATGAAGCACCCTACATTTCGAGCAACACTTCTCCCTCTGCAAACATCGTGACATTGTGTGTATTAGCATGACACAGTTTCAGTGACCTTTGGGAACTCTTTGATCCAAATTATGAAGAAACCAAAATGGATTAATACGAACAACTACGTCACTGACAAACATCATAAAATGGAATAAACTATTTGATTGCACCTGGATTTAAACGTTTGAATGGTACTTTTCTAAAATCACAATCTCCAGGATCATTTGACCATTTTGTGACTAAAATAAAACAAATCGGTCTAAAGTATTGAGTCGGAATATGTTTTCATGTCAAAGTGATTTTGAGAACATTTCTCTGTATGTCACTCTTTGTGCCAATACTTAAACCAAAATACTGCAGAATTTTATGGGGGTATATATAGTAACTCTTTACCCCATCTAACACTGGAAACAACTCACCACGACAGTTTGAAGAACACTTAGTAAATTACAGCACCTGGACCAGACAAAGCGATTGCATAATGACAAAAGAGCATAGAAAAAGGGGAGAAACCATTATTAGAAAAAGGGCAGAAAAAGTTATTAGGCCATCAAACTTGATTCTTTCAGACGAGGCACGGTCAAAGGGGAAGATCGTGAGACTGGTCTTGGACGAGGAAGGGAGGGGGCGAGGCACAGGGACTGTGGGATTGGCATCAATTGTCACTGAGGTCCACACCAACAGGATGAGCTCGCAGAAGAGAAAAGGATCTACATGCCTTCAGCAAAGGAAGAAAGAAGAAGAAATGAGTAAAAAATTTTAAATAATTAAGACAAACCTAGTACCTTGTTTAGGATCTCCTTTAAAGCCCTGCATTACAATGTTGTCCTCAATTTTGCTTTCACAGAAGCATCACGTTCCATGATACCAGGTTGGAATCATACTTCCACCACTGTTGAATGAGTAACCGGTATGAATATTCATGCTCCATCTACCTCCGATTAAAACTGCCGAATATCTTAAGTCAATGGGTATTTTACCCACAAACTTGACCTGCAGTGGAACTCAATTCTAAGAAGCCGAACGATGGTGTCTAAATCTGTGGTTTTCGTGAGCTGCATCTCACAAGTTATTCCCAACTGTAAATTCTAAGCAAATTTTTTTTTACCTTATCTTCAAAGAATCTCCTTCGTAATTTCTTATTCTTTGGAGGTATAGAACGCCTCAGCTGTCTGTACCATTTACGAACAATATAGCCACGCCAACAAGCCTGAATTCTAAGATAAAAATACAAGTTACTTAAACCCATTTGAAGCACATGCTCAAGTACCACGACATCACATAAATGTTTCACTCGTGCACCTTAGCGGTCAAGCAGGATCATTAGTTTCACACCTTGTTAAAATAACAATTTTTGTATTAGATGTAGCATCTTTCAAGTGAGGAGAGCATCTCAAATCACTTCGCAGGATTTACTGTGAAGTGTAGTGACTGTATACTTTGTGGTTGCCAATTCTGCGCACAGCAATGACCAGTTGTTCACGCATTGAAGGTATTGGACCCAATTTTAAAGTGCTGCTGTCAACAGTTCACTAAGTAAATGCAATGCAAAAGTAATTTAGTTATATATTTTTTACTAGTTTAGCAACTACAGCAAACAGATCCATTCAGCAAATGCAGAGGTCCAGAAATATTAAGTCCATGAACTCCACCTCTTAATACATTTACTAATAAAATGACATTGATTGGCCTTACAATGTCAGATCTTCAAGACATCCCAAAGCGCTTCAAAGAATATACTGTAAAGTGAATTGACTGTACATTTTGTGGGTGAAACGCAGCAGCCCGTCCCACAAACAGTCGTGGATTGAGTGACCAAATTATTTTGATTTAGGCGCTATATCAAATGCAACGATTATTATAATGATTATTTTGAAGGAATTATTACTCCCGGAAAAGCGATCCGCCAATCGACTAATAGCTGATGAACTGCAATGTTCAGCAATAAAGTTGAAAGGAAATGTTAATATTTTCATAATGAAGCACCTTGTAGCACATTTGTTCCTGTAGAGGTGAGCGCCATCATGAATTACCCTGGTCTCATACTGCTGCTTTCTACACATCGGACAACTCTTTCTCCCAGAGAATCTCTCAAAGGCTTGCAGGCAAACCTTCAGCACAAAGGTACAAATAGATAAGTACAAGTTAAAGGTAACTACATATGTTAAGTAGTAGTTCCTTTAATACATATATTTTACAAAGAGTCCCTACAGTATTTAAGATTTTTTCTAAAATATATTTTGGCTTCATTTTATTCGAAAAAAATCAATAAATTTACTTCACAAATCCTCTTACTCTTCATGTTTAATTCCATTTGAAAAATAATATTTAGCGGGAATCTTTTTATACTTACCCTGTGGAAAACATGAGAGCAAGACAGCAACACCTGGTGTGTGGAACAAAATAAGAAAGCCTTTATGAACTAGTTTCTACTGCAATTAGTTTTATAATAATAATAATCTTTTCATTTGATACAGGTCATTTGCAAAATGTAGTGACTGTGTATTTTGGAGGCAAACGAAAAAGTCAACTCACGCACACAAGTCCCACAACAGCCACTTAGTGAACGACCAATTTTATCTGAGGGATTGTCGGCCAAAACAGCATGAGAAACGCCTTTCATTTTTCAATTAATGCCGTGGTATAGTTAACATCCATCTAAACAGGCCTACGGGATCCCGGTTCAACATCTCAACCTTAGGACAGCACCTCCCAATACATCTCCAACAACTCAAATTAAAGTTTCACTGGTGACTGGAAGAAAGATGATGAAGCAAAACCAATGAGAAAATGTCGATCCAAGGTGAATAGATCGTGCAGGTACAGCTGCTGAGACAGTAGAAAACATGAACCATTTTTCTGCTTTGTTCCTCACCTGTTGCTGAATCCCAAACTCCTCTTTACATATGACACAAGGCTGAGATGAATCACCCTGCTGTACTGATCTCTTCTTTACCCGCTGCCACTCACTAGCTGTCAAAGGTGCTTCAGGCCCGTCGATTAGACCTAATTTTTGTGCTTTGAACATAAAAATCAATAAACACATTTCAAAGTGTGTATTTGTGCAATTTTAATTGCACATACTTATTTTCTCCCTTATTTATTTTCTCCCATTAACAATTACAAATGTATTTTAAAAATTGCTGTTTCGCCTATAGGTATTCCTCCCAGGGATTCCCCCATGTCACAATCCGAGGTAGGCTCTGTGCCAACTTTCACTATTTGGCAATAACATACAAGGATTAGCTGCGGGAGATATAATTACACATTCTGGATCATCAGATGAACACAAATACGCAACCTATTACTTCACCCTAGTTTTCGACCCATAACCCTTCCTTTTTGAAGCCAGCTCTCCTCTCATGGCCAATGTATGGTTCCACAGGATGGTGATGGTCCTTAGGTACATCAAGTGGTTGACCTTCATATTTTAGCCTGGGCTGAGTGTCAGCTCGCCACATTTTACTTTCACATGATGTCCATGTCACTATACACGGCAGCGTGATGAACTTATCGCTCATAGACATCTAATAGCTTAAAACGCAGCATTTTGCAAACTAGAACAAGAAAATATAATACTTACCTAATGAAAGCTGTGGGGGTTTCGGATCCAGAACATACTCTTCTCCCTCATCTTCCTCAGTCTGTCTTTTTGGCTTTATCTTTTTCAGCCCGGTATCCACTACAGAGCTTGCTAACCTTTTGTCCATGGGTCTGTGACCATACCGTTTAGCCAGTGGTTTCTTGTTGAAGGTATTAGACAATGAAAGGTTTTGAAGCTTCAGATTCCTTATAATGTGATCTTGCAAAGCTACAGCAACGAGGACTGTGGTGTCTGTTTTTGTGGAAATATGCTAGAGGGAACAATGGCACCGGGAATGCAAGAAGAAGTCATTCTTTTTTATTTGAGAAGTCACATATATGCCAAGCTTAACAAATTGTTATCCATTTATTTTGGCATACTCTTAAAGCTTCACGATTTTCTCTCCAAATTTTACAGTGCTCATTAAAAGAATAGTGCCTGTCCCAGCTGAACACAAGAGAGCCGAGCTAGACTGATGGACAGGAGAGCTGATTAAGAGAAGGTTTTTCTTCCTCAATCAACTTCAGGTCTGGGAGCTGCGAGGTGAAGTCAGCCTTAAAATTCAGCCAGGATGGATACGATCAGTCAACCCATAAATAAAACAGCTGGTTCTATTATTTTCAAATTAGTATGTCTTAAAAATATCTGAGTTTTTGATTATAATAATCCTTGCATTTGATACAGCGCCTTATCACGGCTTTGAGACGTCTCAAAGCGCTTCACAGAATATACTGTAAAATTAATTGACTGTATTTTTTGTGGGCAAAACGCGGCAGCCAATTGCGCATAGCACTGTCCCACAAACAGTCGTGGATTGAGTGACCAAAATATTTTTATTTATTTTGAAGGAGTTATTATCCCCGGAAAAGTGATCTGCCAACCGACTAATAACCGGGATTCTAGTTACTGCTAGGTAAACGGAGACGTGTTGAGTAAGGCAACTTGCCCAAAGTTTTGCCCTGCCAGTAATCAAACCCAGGTCCTCTTGCTTGCGAACTGAGTGCTCTAACCACTGAGCTACAGGACTCCATTATCTCCACGGGTTTCTTTCAGTGAGTTGCCAAGGAGATTTCATGATGAAAAATGTAGGAAGGTCCATTTTTTACATCTCTTTGGAAGATGATGTGACTCCTTTTCCCTTCTACAGGGCGAGAGTTCCACAAGCACAAAGCAGTGCCCAGCACCTCTCCCTTGTTAATTCCCCATTTGTGAGCAAGTTTGACAGTACGTTTCCGCAGGCTCGTTGCAGCGGGTTATCAACATGCATATCTAAAGCAAGGGCTGCTGCATAGCGAGCAGGTGCAGGAATCCGGGCTAATTTCCCCCTCACTAGTCTTGGGTGCTCAATAATAATAATAATAATAATAATAATAAGACAATTCTTGCAGTTTAGCACCAATGTTAGCACCCTGGCTGCACTCGGCAGACTTACCCACTCGGCAGGAGATTTGACCCTGGCATCTTCCCATTCTGTATGACTCAGCTACTCACTAAATAAATTCACCACGTCACTTTTCAATCAAGTCAGTTAACAATAAAAATCCTTGCATTTAGTACAGCACCTAAAAGATTGTGAATGTCCTATTATATTATATTATATGATCATAAAGTGCTTCATAAAGTTTCTATGAAGTGCAATGACTGTGTATTTGTTGGCAGCTTATTTATTGGCACGCAACGATGTGCCACAAACAGCCATGAAGTGAAGGAGAGTGAATTATCTGGAGGATTGTTGCCCAGGAAACTTGGAGAGAAATTCCCTTTCCTTTTTTTGAATTATGCCATGGGATCTTTCATGTCCACCTGAACAGGCAGACACAATATTTTATCCATAGAACGACCCCTCTGACAACGTGGACTCCACCAGCACTGGATTAAAATGCTAGCCTGGAATACGAGTTCAAAGTGCCATCGTGGGGCTTGAACCCACAACGTTTTGCTCCGGAGATAAGAGCGCTGCCAACACATTATCGTCAATTTATTATTAATTCCTGGAACTTATGGTTTAAAAACCTTACATGCAAGATTTATTAAATTCCCTCTATAAATCTAAGCCAACTATATGTACCAGATAAGCTTCATGACTCGCTCAACATCGGGAACTTGTGTTTATACAGTGGCCTTCATGGTGATGTCTTGGAGCAACGGCAGAGTGGGATGCAGAGCATGAGAGATGGGGTGGGTGTAGGTGACCATAGGCAATAATAATAATTATAATAATAATAATCCTTGCATTTTGACCGCACAATTTCACAGAATACGCCGTAAAAGTGAACGGGCCGCACGTCGGTGGGCGAATAGGCGCCGTCGAAAAGACGGTGGGCTTTAGAGACAGCTACGGACGTGTGGGGTGAGGTGGAGGGACAGAGGCAGAGAGTGCCACAGGTTAAAGAGTGCGGTCACAGAAGGGCAAATCATGATTATGATTATTATTATTATTATTATTATTATATCCTCACACAAACACACACAGGCGCCAATGGTGGAATGACGGGTAGCAGAGTTCGATGGCGGAAGCCGAGCGCATTAGGGAGCGGAAAAGGCAGGAGGTAACCCCCCCCCCCAAAAAAAAAGCCTGGACGGGTGTCTCAGCGGCGTTTGGCGTGAGGTCCTAAGAATTCTTATCGGCGTAAAGGTTCCCGCGTACCTTATTCCTGACTGTTTTGGTGCTGGTGCCCGGGAGAGATGACTGTGGCAACGAACCCTTCAAATCCATCCGGAGAAATAAAAATTGTGATTTTAATAATCGATGTTCCAAGGAACTTGTGACTGAGAGTTAATCTGAAATAATAGATATGATTGACTGAACATCACCCAATGTATTTCAGCCCCTACCCCCGCAATCACCCCCCGCAATCACCCCCCCCCCCGCAATCACCCTCCGCAATCACCCCCCCCCCGCAATCACCCCCCGCAATCACCCCCCCCCCCCGCAATCACCCCCCCCCCGCAATCACCCCCCGCAATCACCCCCCCACCCCCCGCAATCACCCCCCCCCCGCAATCACCCTCCGCAATCACCCCCCCCCCCCGCAATCACCCCCCGCAATCACCCCCCCACCCCCCGCAATCACCCCCCACCCCCGCAATCATCCCCGCAATCACCCCCCCCAAACCCTCCCCCACCCCCACCCACTCACCCCCCACCCCCCGCAATCACCCCCCCCCGCAATCACCCCCCGCAATCACCCCCCCCCCCCGCAATCACCCCCACCCCGCAATCACCCCCCACCCCCCGCAATCACCCCCCCCCCGCAATCACCCCCGCAATCACCCCCCCCAAACCCTCCCCCACCCCCACCCACTCACCCCCCACCCCCGCAATCACCCCCCCCCCCCCCGCAATCACCCCCCGCAATCACCCCCCCACCCCCCGCAATCACCCCCACCCCGCAATCACCCCCCACCCCCCGCAATCACCCCCCCCCGCAATCACCCCCGCAATCACCCCCCCCAAACCCTCCCCCACCCCCACCCACTCACCCCCCACCCCCCGCAATCACCCCCCCTCAAACCCTCTCCCCACCCACTCCCCCCCACTCACCCCTCCCTTCCCCCCTCAAACCCCTCCCCCCCACTCACCCCCTCCTTCAGACCCTCCCTCCCCTCACTCACCCCCCCGGGGTTACAGTTGAAGCTCTCCCCTCCCCTCCCCCCCCCTCTCTGGCTTTTCCTGTCACAAACCTCCTGTACAATCCCCGGGTACAAACACACGGGGTGGGGGGGAGAGGGGGGTGGGGGGGGCTCCAGCTCCAACACCGACATGGACGGCCTTTACCTCAGTCCCGCCTGACGCCAGCGCCGTCACCATGGCAACTGGCGCCTCCCGCCCAGCCCCGCAACAGCCACGGGGCGGCACCCAGCAATCCACCCACCCCCCCTCCCGGGAACAATGAGCAATCCACCCACCCCCCCCTCCCGGGAACAATGAGCAATCCACCCACCCCCCCTCCCGGGAACAATGAGCAATTCACCCACCCCCCCCTCCCGGGAACAATGAGCAATTCACCCACCCCCCCTCCCGGGAACAATGAGCAATTCACCCACCCGCCCTCCCGGGAACATTGAGCAATTCACCCACCCCCCCTCCCGGGAACATTGAGCAATTCACCCACCCCCCCTCCCGGGAACAATGAGCAATTCACCCACCCCCCCCTCCCAGGAACAATGAGCAATTCACCCACCCCCCCTCCCGGGAACATTGAGCAATTCACCCCCACCCCCCCTCCCGGGAACAATGAGCAATCCACCCACCCCCCCTCCCGGGAACAATGAGCAATTCACCCACCCCCCCCTCCCGGGAACATTGAGCAATTCACCCACCCCCCCTCCCGGGAACATTGAGCAATTCACCCCCACCCCCCCCTCCCGGGAACAATGAGCAATCCACCCACCCCCCCTCCCAGGAACAATGAGCAATTCACCCACCCCCCCTCCCGGGAACAATGAGCAATTCACCCACCCCCCCTCCCGGGAACAATGAGCAATCCACCCACCCCCCCTCCCGGGAACAATGAGCAATTCACCCACCCCCCCTCCCGGGAACAATGAGCAATTCACCCACCCCCCCTCCAGGGAACAATGAGCAATTGCCCCCGCACCAAACTCTGGACCCCCATCACCCCCAGTCCTTGACGGGCTCCGCTGCCCCCCCCCAACCGATTACGGACCGATTCCCCGATCCTCACCCGATGACTCACTGATCATAATACCCGGTGGGATTCGGGCGGACAGCGGCTGCGCGTCGCTCCGGGGGAGAGACTCCGTGTCTCCCGCGTCGCGGGGAATCCTCAGCTCGGGGGTCTGGATCGCTCTCCAGGCGCGGCCGTCGATTGAAGTTGACCAGGTCGCGGCTCGGAAGAGCCGAGACCAGGTCTTGACCGCGTCTTGACCGTGCTCTTTGGAGCCGAGACTTGGCCGACTGCAATGACCCTGGCCAGCCCGATTGCTCCCAATTAACCCAACTTTTGTTTGATTGGGTTTTAAGGTCGGCCGGGATGTCCGACGCCTGCGGAAGCGCGGGTCAGGATCATTGAAGTTGACCCGTGTCTTGAGCGAGAATAGAACGGACGGGCGCTAACTCGGGGAAGGAAATTACAAAGCGAAGATTGCTGTACACCTGGCCCCAGAATAAGCCTCAGATCCCTCCTAAACAGAGAATTAGTAACATGACAGCAGCTGTCAAACATCACATCTGCCTGTACAAACGGGAACATCCTGAGGGAACGTGGCGAGGCAACATGAGAGGTTACTGCGTGTTCAACCAGTGAGCGGCGAAGAAACGAAAACAGAAGATCCACTGAAAGCGACGTTCAAAGTTGAAAGAAGAATGGCTGGCACTTGAACAAAGTGGACAAGCTTCAAAGAGGAAGCACTGGCCTAACTATGAGGATGTCAGTGTAGCACCGCACATTTATTTCAATCATTTTAGAGCCTATTACACGGGCCATTACGTACTCTGATTGCGGGATTAGACTCGCCGGCTAATATAGAGAAAGGCACAAATGCGGACAGGGTGGGCTTAATGGCCTGTTTAATTGGCCCTGACGCTGTATCGTTCCTGGAGATGAACAATACAGTGGTGATGTGCCGGCTGTCGCTGGTGATAGTTATGTGAGAACAAGAGAATGAGCCTTGGCACTCGCAAGCTCAACATGCAGTGTTGCTAGACCCTACTCTGGGTGAAGATCCTATATAAATGCAAGCTGTTGTTGTTATTGTTGTTGTTGTTGAATCCTCCATCACAATGGTTGTGACCTATATAATCCTTACATTTGTTTTGGTTTTTTTTGCTCAGCCGGGTGTCTGACACATGCAGAAACCCATCACCGTTGCTTAAGAGTATCCAACCCAAGGCTGAGAATCCCCTGCATCCCACCTGCACATGGGAATTGCAGACGTAGATTGTTGGAATGGAGTGCCCTCTCCCCTCCCTGCCAGCTTCCTGGTGGGCAGCACATCTCAGCAGGAAAACGGTGAGAGCATTGCCACTGTCTTCCTGTCCTCAGCTCGAGCACACATCCCTTTCCCGTAGTGCAAGGAACCCTTTGCAGCTGCATTGGACCCGATGGTGGTTACGTCAGTCAGTACATCACACAGATTCCTATGTGAAGGGCGCTATGTGAATGCAACTTTGATCGTGTTTCCTAATTCAAAGCTAAACACTAGTGCTTGTAGGTAGCGTAAGGAATTGCCTAGAATCGCTTCCATCAATGCAAAGTGCAGCAGTAAAATGAAGCCTCCTGTTACTTGCAGATACGAGGTCTCTCCAAACAACTTAATCTTCAGTGTCAAGTGACGTAGCGCTTTAACAGAAAGCCTGATTTGCATTGCGCTGAACACTGAGGCATTTTAATATTGAGATAGATGATCTGATATGAAGGGTGTTCTCCTGGCAGCACACACTATAAATCACTCAAAGTGACAAGATCATGTTAGAATTTAGTTCCTTTCTCTGAACACATCACGTCTCATCTTCAATCCTTAGATGTTGGGAACATCCACAGCTATAAACCACAGAAGTACTGATGTGGCTTCGTACTGAACTGATTGACAGAAGTAAAGATGTGAAGCACACCTATTCAAAGCAAACCAATTGTTCTATGGATGATTCCTGGAATGACGACAAAGAACTACATCAACTCTGAGCAATGAGATGCTTAGAAACTGAGGGGAAACAACAACTAGAATGAAAGAGAATCTGATGCCAAAATAAAATAATTTGTATTTGATATTGATCGTGATGAAAGCTTCGCGAAGAGCTTTACACTCCGGCTATTTTTAAGTCCCTGTTATGTAATATTAGTAATAAGAATCGTGTTTTCATTTGAGATAGCGCCTTGCACGTTGGGAGGATGTCTGGAAGCACTTCACAGGATATACCGCAAAGTGCAGTGGTTACATGTTTTGTGGGCGAATGGGGCAGCACATTTGTACACAGTGATGTCCCACAAACAACCTAGAAATCAGTGATCAGTATTATGTGGTGAATTATTTGCCAGGACACCGGGAGAAATTCCCTATTGTTTTTGAATACTGCCATAGGATCCTTAACATCCACCTGCATTGGAGTGTCAGCTTAGACTATACGAGTCCCCAACACGGGGCTTGAACCCACAACCTTCTGACTCAGAGGCAGGAGTGTGACCACCTGAGCCAGACTGACATATGTACGTAGCCAAACATGACAGCTAAACTGCAGCAACGATGTCCTCAAACAGCAGTGAGATGGACGGCCAATTAGTCTGCTTGGGTGAATTTAAATAAGAGAGGAATATAGGATAGTTCACCAGGGCTTTTGTGTTTTTTGCTCAACTGGTTTCTGATGCAATTGGCTGCCACGTTTCGCTCACAATATATCGTATGAAACGCTTTGAGACGTCTCGACAACGTGATAAGGCACTGAATCAAATGCAAGGGTTATTATTATTATTATATATATATTGTGTTTATATATAGTGCACTTCACGCAGGTAGTGTCTCGCAGTGCTTTAAGTGGTGTTTTTTCAGGAGTTTGACATCGAGCCTGTGACCACGGTAAATAGATTCTGAATCAACCTTTTTTTTAATGAATCCTATTCTTCAGCTCTTTCCCAATATCTCCAAATGTTTTTTTTCCCACTGACTGGGTGTTTATCCGGTTCCCTTTTGAATGATTCCATTGATCCAGATCCAGCCTCGACAGCCAGTTTTGGCAACGAACTGCAAAACCTTCCTGAGTTACCATCACCAAAAACCTATCAGATTCGTGGGAAAAATTATACCGTTAACGTGAAACGTTGGATTCCACACAATGGGTTCCCCTCTCCCCCTCCGCGAAAAGAAAAAGTCCTTTGACGTGCGTCGAGTATGTACATAATCAAAAAAAAATGTTGTTGAGGTATTCATTTCATAAACCTGAATAAAACTTGTCAGTCGCATTCGAGGGTGTGGGTAGGAGACAACTTTAAAAATCACAGGATCTTAAAATTCTTCACCTGGGTCACTGAAAGTAATTATTTTTTGTTTGTGGTGTCAGAGCGAGGCATGCTATTTGTCACATTCGGGTTTGTGTATCTTTTCGAAAGCCTTCAACTTTGATCTGATTTAAGGTGCACTCTGTAACACAGATGGCAGAAGTAACAAACCACTGATGTACACTGTCAGTCAAAGAAGCGTCTAAGTCAACACCAGCCCAGGCTTATAAGTAGGAAGCCCCAGCACATTTATGAGGCTTGTATGTTCTTGTGAGAAAATACAGACCCTTTGCCTTTCCTGCTCTGACAAAGGTGTGGAGCAATTTGTTAGTTCGGGATTTAATTCACTAAAATCAAAGGGCTGCTTTAGGAGGGCAGACTGTGGACATAGCTTGCATTTTTAAGTAAACAATCCAATCAAAAAGACACAGCCAGGATAGGCTCAGCAATACATAAAAGCTGCTTTCTTGAAACTGTCATTGAAATGGATTTCAGTACGTGCCTTTTATTTCCCCAGGGTCACTGTTTGTCTTATTTATAAATGCCATTTAAAGAGCTTTTTATTTAACTTTCATCTTGGCTTAGTGACTACCTGATTCATGGTATTTTATTCTAGAAACTGACCTTGTCGTGTGAAGATGACTTGGGGGGGGGGGAAAGAAGGGGATTGCGCAAGAAGGCTTCTGAAAGTCTTTGCTTTTACAGACTCCTGCAATCGCTGAGCAAACAGGCAGTAACAACAATGAGTTGAGAATCGGTCACAAAATCACGATCAGTTGTTTTTGGACAATTTCACTGTTTGAAAGGGAGCTCATGTTATTTTCCCACTTTCAACAATTAATTCCCCTGTTGTTTATTTTACTCTCTCCTTTTTTTCTGGATGTCTGG